AGTTATTCGGACTAGTACAGAATTGTTGAGGATTTTTCAGTACATTAACAATCCGGGTTTTATATTGTATAGAAAATGCATTCGATTTTCTGAAGTATCGATTTTGTAGAGAGGAAAATATCTTTATTCATGATATGAAACAAGCTTATCAAACACAAACAATAGTAGATCCACTGCCTTTGCAGTACATTGATTATTCACAATATGAACGACAACAGATGGACATGAGGGAAGCACATGGATATTGAAAACAACTACTCAGTGGCTATGAAACTGAACATCATTTACAATTACCTCATGATCATATCAATGTTGATGATAATACTATACGCACAGGTCACGATTCATCCATGACGATCGATCTCGATAAAGATTTAGTTTATAGTGTAATAATCTATGCCAGTGATATGAATGTTACTCTCTGTCAATTAATGTTAGCTTCGTATTATACATTTCTGTTTAAACAATGTCAACAGACAGATGTATGTATCGGTACGATTAATGCAAATCGTTATCGTTCTGAATTGCAGTCGTTGATTGGAATGTTTGTGAATACACTACCATTACGTCTAAAAGAATTTGATCCTATACAATCATTTTCACACTTATTAATCAATGTTAAACAATTGTGTTTAGACACATTTGATTTGGCGTGTTTGTCCTATCAAGAAATAATCAGATTACATCGCACAGCTGACTCGATCACGACAACATCCACATGGCCATTCATACAGACAATGTTTTTATTCTATGACTTCCTATCATTCGACGAGCGAAACGTACAACTGGATGATGAGACTAGTCTAAGTCTAGTACAACAATGGAATCTGCGAAAATCAAACGAACTGACAAGTGATTCTGCTACTGTCATGTCTAAATTCGATTTGACTTTATCGATTTCCTACGATAATCAAACTAAGCATACGGCATTTACATTCGAGTATTCTATAGATTTATTTCAGCACGAAACTATCCAAATGATGTCCGAACGTTTTCATACTCTACTTTTCCAACTGTTTGCTCCTTTACCAACATTTAAACCGTGAGAAACAACCTGTTTACGAACTATCAATTCTCTTACCAAATGGAATACAAATGTACACAGATTTGAATGCTACACATATTGAGTTCGATCGTCCCCTAAAACCAATACACGAAGAATTTTATGATCGTGCAAATGAATATTCACAAAAGTTAGCTGTAGTATTAGATGAACAAACGCTAACATATTCAGAAACATTGTATTATGTTCAACGACTAGCAACGCATTTAATTGAAGAATATCATGTCAAAGTCGGTGATATTATTTGTCAATGTATGGAAAGATCAATTGAAATAGTACTGGGCATTCTATCAATATTAGCAGCAGGTGCTATCTATTGTCCATTGAATCCTAACGATTGTGCAAAACGTTTATTCTCATCGATCAACGAAGTTCAAGCCATACTAGTGTTAGTCGAACCGAAAACAATGTCAGTTTTTGATGTTTCTGAATATTATAATGGCGTTAATGTTCATTCGAATTAGTATCGACATGCGTGTTGGCTCACGAGATTTGATGTTTTCATATAACCATGTACCTTCAACCTGCATAAGAACGTCAAATATTGCGTCCATCATGTTTACTTCAGGATCAACTGGACTGCCGAAAGCGGTAAGATTCATTAACCTTCTTAAAGTGGCTGGCTTGTTTACCGTTTTCTTCCCGTCACTCGGTGGCGGTAATGGTTTTTGTTCTGATGCAGGCTTATGAGCTGCACTTCTCTTCTACTCTATACATATGATGTCGTGTTGCTCATTCTGGATTATGAGACTTACGGGCGTTAACTATCGCAGTGCGTTTCCTTGATTTGTATCCTATAGACTGTTGCAGCCATTGATGTGTGTTTGTCAGTTTCTTGCTTACTAGGCACAATTAACTCACAAAAATGTTATGTCATCGACTAGAGACTTTAATCATCTGAATTTGATAACTGCCATAGATCTTGTCCTACAAAATACATCATGTTCTTTTGATGTGCATGTGCAAGAAATTTTAGCTGCACTTACAACAGGTTGTCCAACGATTATGTTGAAGTCTCATGGAAACCTGAGTTTTCCTTATGTGTTACAAACAATTCATAATCATAATGCTACATTCGTTAGTCTAGTGCCGTCGCTAGCTCTGGAACTATCTATGTACATGCACACGTTGAATAAATCGTTTCAATTAGTAACTGTTCAGACCTACGGCCTTTTAGGTAAGAATATGGTTTAATGTTTTTCTTAGCATATACAATTTAGATCAGACATCTTAACTAACAACGTGGCTTCAGACACTACAACGATAGTAAAAACCCAGGACGTTCAAAAGCGTTGTAGATAAAGGACTATTAACATCATGTTAGCGTCATAAAATTTAATTCTTTATTTATTCCATTTGCTACTTGATTGAAGGACTCATTTGCTGACAAAGGAACTTTTACTTTTCATTTTTGTGCATCGCCGACTTTCATACCTCGTGATATTACAATGTTCAGGTAATGTGAGCGATCTTTACCAGCGGACTTATTCGACTTTCCCAAAAACTCGCTCTTGAGTTGTGTATTTTCTTAACGAGGAGATTCTGAAGTTAAAAAAAATTCATAATCTCATTTTTCATCCTGGATTCGAATATCAACGCAGAAAGTGCAGTTCACGCTCCTACATAAGATAAACTTCTTCTGATTTTCTTTACTTAGGCGAAGCCCTTAGGTATACCGAGAGCAGTGACAAATTTAAAGAAATATGCACAACACAAGTCTAACATGTATAATTTGTACGGGCCAGCAGAAACAACTCTCGTGTCGACCGGGCATACGCTTTCATTGAGCAACGATGATACTGAGAGAGAACTAACACCCATTGGCAAGTCACTTCCTAATTACTGCATTCACATCAGAGCTGATCACCTGCATGGTAAACTGCCTGCAAACTGCAGGCAGTGCAGGCAGGTTGCAGTTTGCAGGGCAATAAAAAAATTTCCACTAACGGCCGGCAGATAAAGAAGAATGTTTTCCTGCCTGCACTCCCTGCAGGGGAGAAGATTTTACCTGCATTCCCTGCAGGGAAAGACGTTTTTGTGAGGAGAATGAAAATAGAGAGGAGACGAAGCTAAATACTGATCACACTGAAGGTCAGAATGATCTCTTAACGAAAAGAAACTAATTAACAGTTTTTTTTGTATATCTGCTGGACACTTTAAGATGAAGGAGAGAAACGTTTTATCCGTAATCGCTTAAATCATTTGATATGTCATTTTCCTCTAATATAATGGCCTAGATCGCATCTGTGTAGAATTCTTATTTCTCTTTCTTAAATGAATAAAGTTTAAACTAAACGAAAAATATAGAATAAAGAAAAAGAATGAATTTCGTTCTTATTGTATGTAATGTTTCTTTTAGTATGCGCACTAGGTATAGTATATAGAAGATGACAAAAGACTATAACGATAACAGAAAGAGAAAAATATAGAACAAGGATAGTGAATCGTAACTGGTGATACAGTCTATAATT